TCCCCCCCCCCCCCCCCCCCCCCCCCCCCCCCCCCCCCCGAAGCTCCGCTCACATCCACCCTGAGTGTGAATAACCTCTCTCCCCGACAGGAAAAAACCGTAACTATTGAACGCGATAAACGAATTCAACTTTACTAGTGAGCGATGTTACATATATTTAGTGCACTAGATTTCCGCTTGCGCGCTGCATTGCTATGCGAATTTGCAGCGAAGTATCCCGCAATGAGTTTAGATCGACGTTATGAATGGGTTGAAACCGTGGTGGTTGTCATGCAATTCTCAAGAAATACAATCGTTTCAAGGAAGTGTGATAAAGATATGGTTGCGGCAGCAGTTGATGAAGATGTACAGAAATCGATCTGCTAATTTCATTCTCAATACTATCCGAACTGCGCGGTTCACTCATGCTTCAGTCGACCAAATGAATAGAAAATGCAACTGAATTTATGCAACGCGAAAAGTTTCTATTAATCATGGATATGCTTCAAAGATTTTGATTCGATCTTAATTCGATCAGTGGATCTTTTCATGTTTTCCCGTCATTCAATTGCATCTTTCAAAAATTTGGCCATTCGTCTTGAAACCTTCGCTCGTGAATTGACAACGTATCCTCAAGAATTTTTTTTGTGAAGTAATTGCGATTTTTTCTTTCAATTACAGGTGATGACCTCTTGTACATATTAAACGAGAATAATGTTTTACGTATTTTACGTGAATAAGGGGTATATGCAGCCTCTAGAAGTAACGGCGGCATTGGGCACTGTTCGTAAACTGCAATCTGCTATCGAAGAAACAACGCACGTCCCGATTGCGGAGCAGGTGGTCACTTCTTTTTATCATCCATTTACATCTTCTGAATGGATAGAATTACAGAAAACAATTGAAAAAAAAGCAAACGTAGTCTGCCTGCAACGATTCCTATAATTTCGAGCTGTCTATCTGATCGGAACAAAGTTCTCCACAACCAGTGAGAAAATGGTGGTAATCAGACACTTTTCGTTGCATGTCTTTTTTCTAACAGGTGACAGATAATTAAATGAAAGAAAGGAAATTAGCAATGAATGTTGTCCAAAAAATCGTTCTGCTAAAACATCTACAGATTCATCAAAATTCAAATCGCCAGCAACGGTAAACATATTAAATTCATTCAGAATATCAGAGGAACTCAGCGAAGCAATTGGATTAAAGTAATAAAACTTGAACCATCAAGTAAAAGACGTCGTTGATAACAATCGATAACAAATCATTTATGCGTTCAAATATCACTTCGTTAGGAATAATCATAATAAAGCAATAATAAGCACACAAAACGATCTTTCACTTGAGTCGTATTGGATTTGGAAGCTAGCTGAAACGAGAGGAGTAAAGGAAGGCAGCACTGATTGGCTCATCGCTTTCAGGTTTTGTTGGTTTCCGGTGGTGATGGTCTTCAGTCGGATCGTCCGGTTGCTCATTATCAAGGAGCCGGCACGGATTCAAATCCAGTTTTTCTCTTTTGTAAACTTTCAAAAGACGAAAATCAAGAAGCGTTGATTCCTCAAGAAAATGCTGAATTGAATGAAAAAAGCGCGGGTGAGTGTACAATGCTAAGAGATTGTTCTTTCAAAGGCATAGCTGAAATGAACTCAGTTCATATGATATCGAATATATATTTACTTCCCGGAACTTATCAGAATTTGTTCACAATCTTCATCGCAGAATGCGTTATCATATTTAGCTATATCAAAGACCTATTAAAAAGCAATTTTAAAGGCCGTTATCTGGTCACTTCCTTCTTTTGCATTTGTAGAAACAAGATTGAAAAAAAGGGTTGTTGTGTAGGATTATTGAAGCAGTTACGATCATTTGAAAGTATTTCAATCTCGAGTGCCGTTTTGGAATGTTACGGTGACACAGTTCAACGCAGCAGTGAAGTGGCCGATTGTGCAATGCAATTGTGTGCACGACTCGTGCAAGATCATCAGTTGCTTTATCAAGTTGGTCACTGCAAATTCACTTCGAACACTTCTTTCTACGTTGTCTACGCTAAGCTATCATTTTGTGATACATATTTCGATGCGTTAATTTAAGCCAATTCAATGCTTAAAGGTTTCTGCGTGATTTTATGGACTCCTTTTCTCTAGAACAAAAAAATCAGGCCATCTTTACAATTCACAGTTGAATTCGAATTCTCATAGGGATGGTTAGCGTTGGTGTCAAATTTGGACGATTCGCGTGCACAAATCGAGCGACGAGCTGAGAAATTTTACGCACATTACGAGCGTTTAAAAGCAATGAAAGATAAAGCTCAAGCGATATTGCAAGAATTTGATGCTGTCTTTGAGACATTACATAAGGTATTACTGTTATTATCATCATTGTTATATTGTGGTGCTTAAGAGTAGCAATGATACCAATAGTTGTTTTATTATTATTTATTGTCGTTGTTTTGAATTTGTTATCGCTCTAGGATTCGTATAATGTATAGAATCGTATAATGGAAGGGAAGTGCCATTTCGTTGCTTCATTAGGACCGAAAATTTTTGGTTTAGCAAAACATTTCTCAGGCCATTAGTATAAATAAATGATGGCAGTGTGCTATAATAACAATTTCAGATAACCATTCCTTCGGCGTTGTTGGTAAATTCGACGAAATTTGAGGGTGGCAATAAACCGAATGATGAGTGCACTCTGTACGAATACATATCTTGTGCTGATCCACAGAGTTCACTGAAAGATATCGTTGATCAAGTGCAGTTACACTTAGATAAAGTATGCTTTGTTCATAAATTATTTCTTTTTACAATCATACTTTTTTGGCTCTTTCCGCATCTTGTTATTGTTCCCTATTCTGCTATGAATATTCTGTCGTTTTATCCACCGAAGTTGTTTTTATTATCGAGTTTGTGCTCAAATACAGGTGAAGTGATGAGTGAGTTTCATTTGGATTGATGGTTGACGTGAGCGAATCGCGTCTAACCTTGAGTAGTCAAAATGCAATAGATTGATTGTAATAGAGATTCAGATTGATGATCGTGAACATACATGTGTGGTAACGCTTCTGAAGCAGGTCTCTGAGCAGACCAACAAACAAGAGGTGCGTGATATACGTGGTATCAATTCGCGATTGATCCAGCTCGATACGCATCTTCGTTCATTAGAAAGTACGTTTCTTTAAATGTTATTCATCTCTTTACATTTATTCTACCATCAACATTACTTTATCAATCAATTTTAGTCCAAGAGAAGAGATTGAAAGAACTTTGTACAGTGGTTGCTCAAAGTGTCGCTGCACATGACTCGTCGCATATGAAGGTTTTTATGTTTAACGCAATTAAGCATTCCCGTTCTCTATATCGTGATACAAGTACTCTCTCCTCTTTTGGCATCTGTATTAATCAAGTTTGCTGGAAATTTATTAATGAATGATTGTAATAATGATTATGATTTAAAAAGTAGTATTGATAATACTAATATAGAGGGGAGAATTTCATTTGTATCATTGTTTAGTATTATCGTTATTAAATAAATTGATGTTTCGTTAAAGGAGCAAATAGAAGAGGTGAAGAGAATAGTTGAGCAATTCCAAAAAATGGCGAAATTGTTTTCACAGTCCAAAATTGAGCTGCTCAACAATATCAGAACGCGTCTTTCAGGATGGATTTTACAGGTTTTCATCGTCTTATGGTTATTCGAATTGGTTTCTTTCGTTTATTGATTCATTTTTCATTCATATTTGATAAAATGAGAGTAACTTAGTTTTCGATTTGGCTTTTTTAAACTTAATTATGAATTAACTCACTTGCATGTGCAGCTTTTATTGCAGTCTTCGATCTTGTTCAGCTTTTATTATTCGTTGGCATGATTATCATTCACAATTGTTGCTACTGTTTAGGCGTACGATCGACTGCATAACGTCAATTATAAAATAATTGTATTTGAAGCAAAATTTTTTGAATTACGGAATCGTTTGGATATAATAAGACAAGTGAAAGAATCACCGACAATGTATGTGACGGCAATAACAGAGGCCATTCGACGGAGCACATTGCATCCGGTATGTTGTAGCCTTAATCATAATGATAATAGTATGAAATATTTATATGAATATTGAATTTCATTAATAAGATTGTCCTAAACTGAAATACGTTGAAGGAATTTCATTCGTGGTTCACGTCGTTCTCTGAGAAGAGTGGTGAGTTGATACGTGAAGAGTGCTCGATACGTGAGACATTCAACTCTAAACTGAATCGGCACTTCTTGAAACAACTCTTTCCAGGGATGTTTGATCAGTTCCCGAATTTCATACCTACTGAATTGCCTCCTTTCGACCAGAATCTACCTCCTGTTGATTTCTCACATTTGAGAGCTTTAAGACAAGTGAGTCCTTTTGTTCATACACTATTTTCCATTTTATTGCCAATGCTCTCGTTTATCGTTGTTGTTCGTAGCGTTATAGCACGGTGATCAATAAACTTCTGTTTCTATTCGATCGAAAAGTGAATAGATTAATTAGCGAATAAATGAATGCAATTCTGATTTGAGAGTGTCCCAAACTTGGCGCACTTATTGAAAGTGAGCGAACCGGCAATCTATCAACGCTTATCGGTTCGGGATCCACGAGCCGTATCCGTGATCCATCCGCAAACAGAAGCAACCGCCTCTGGAGGAGCACCAATGCGACGTGAAGAATCATTTTTCACTTCAGATGCCACCATCAATATCACCACACTAAATAAAAACTTCCCGTCTACGAATTGGTTGAGGTTAGTGAATCTGATCTTATAAACAGCGAAAAAGCAGTCGAACAGTATAAATCCTGTGATAAGCTGCCACATCTTTAGAGTTGAGTAAGTCATTGACTGCTTTTCGTTCACTATGTGCTGTTGATCAGTGCAAAATTTCGATTTAGCGGTGATGAGAATATGGATATATCGCCGTCAAATGCAGTACGCTTAACGAAGTCACCTCCAACGTTTAGTTCAACTTTGAGTTTGGATAATGCTGATGCAACGGTATCATCTTCAAAACCACTCAGTCCACTGACTCAACTTTTTGATGCTTCACAACAGGTATCTATCTATATTTATCCTTGTTGCTATTGGTCTTGTTTATTCTTTTCGTCATTTATTTAGTGTATTATTTTCAATTCATCATTTCGAATTCTTCAGGAATGTGACACATTAACTGCCTCATCCAGCGCAGGCGTCAGTCAGTCGGTCAAAAGTGCTCCGATTCGTATTCCACATCGTGACGATTCCAACCGTCAGGTGACAAATGTAATTCTCTCATTCGATAGTATTATTGTTCCATGTACTACTGGTTAATATTCCTGGTTACGTTTTGATGGAAGATGTAGGTGATTGCACCTAAATAATTCCTGTCCATTTTTCTGTATGATTATTATTCCTAGGTATCCGAAAAGTCTAGTCAATTCAGCACTCCTGAAGATCATTTCACATCTTGTCAGTATCGAGTAAGTGAATTTAGCATTATTCACTTTTCACTAACTCGTCAGTTAACATTTTAATGTTCTCTCTCTTCAGCAATTTGAAATGGATCGACGATCAAATCAAATGACGTTGAGTGATACAGTGGAACACTTGAAGCCGATTTTAAACGGATTACAGTCAATTTCGGATGTAATTTACATATCACATGTTTTTTTGTGACTGCAAGTTTTATGCAGTATTGAAAGCAAAGAGCAATATTGAGAAAGTGTTAATGAACGCGCTTGGTAACTCGACGAGTGGATATTTGGTAACAAAAGGCATAGCATTCGATGATGACAGGGACGTGCTCTGTTGTTATTATCATTGTTATTATTCAGGCTATGAAAACGACCAAGGAAATGATTGCTGATGATAGACTGAATATGGAGAAGGAAATAAATAAAGCAAATGATTGTGTTGTTAAAATGATGGAAGAATTGGAGCGTTCACGTCGATCAGCGCTTGAAAAGCAAATTGAAGAAACTCGAAAGACAGCGATCGCCGAAACAACGGCTCATTTCGAGAGGATTATCGAAGAATTAAAGGTGTGTTCATTTGATAAATTCATTTCTAATTTCATAGTACACTTATATTATGCTTATTTTAGTTGTTGTTGTTATAATAATTGGTTCTAACATAGTATTGTAACAAAAGTAGACAGAATGAGCAACAGAAAGGGGTAGTTGAGTTGGCTAAAACAATAAAGTTGCGTTATCAGATAAAGAAATGAAATAATTTGTTCTAGGCAAAATTAGAGGACGGTATGAGGCGTGATCGTGAATTGGTTGATTTGAAAGAGGTTCTAGAAGATCAACAAGCTGAAATTAATGCGCTTCGAACGGAGAACGAGAAGAATCAAGAAGCGATTGCAAAGTAATTATAATGAACTGCAGCAGCAATATTTCATTGCCGTTGCAGTTTTACTTTGATCATCTCAATTAGTCATTATATTCGCTTATTTTTGTTTTTTACTATCGTTGCTCCTGAAGTGACAAATAGTTGTTAATGTGATCCACTGATAGCACGAGTGGTACATCTGTGAAGTGATTCAATCTCGATTGTGGTCACTTAGCCAGAAACCGAGCTATCCATTTGCAATTCAGATCGGAGAATGAGAAATCGGAATTAATAAAACGTGCTGTGGTGGATCATGAACTGGAGAAGATGCGCATTGAAACGGAGTATTGCGACGAAATCAAGGTAAGTGATAAGATCCGGTATGTTTGTTTAGTTATAGGGAAATGTAACGTGAAAAAGATTTGATTACGTTTCAGCAAAAAGACAAAGAAATTGAAGCGTTGCGTCATTCACTGCATAAAGCTCGTGAGGCACGTGCACATATGCAGCAGTCTGAATCTGAAGACATCTTGAAGAATGACGAAATTCGTGCTCTCTTCGAGAAGGAATATAAAGTTTGTCGTTTCATACCCTAACCACTTCCTCTTGAAATAAATTTCGTGTTTATGTTCAGTATGCTGTTCCAATCCTTTGGTGGTTGCTATTATGAAATTTCATTTACATCCTTATATAACTTATTTATGTTTTCTTAAAAATCCGATGTTGATATTTGTCTACGTGTCAGGCTAAAATGCATTTGATTGCGTTGGGTATGGAAGAGAAGAAATCGGAGGAGATAACACGGATCAAAAAAGAAGCAGAATATGATTGGCGTTTAAAATCGCAAAAATATGTTCGTTTGCATTATATGTTAGCTGAGCACTGTGGTCTATACTTTTTATATAAGTGGCATCAGTTAATAATTTTATGTATCTTTCAATCATTGAGTCCATTTTCGCACTTTAAGGAGGAAAGAATAAAAGAATTGGAACAACGTATGTTAAGAAAAGTGGATGAAGCATCGCGTCAAGCAATTGAGCGGTTTGTTTCCTATTTTTCATATTCATTTCATTAGGTTTGAAAGCTTTCTTGTCCCTCGTAATGCATTTTAGATGAACGCTTCAATGGGTATGATTTAATAACAGGAAAGTGAGCCATTCCGTCATAGTTTTCAGTGCAGTTTCGTGGTTAAGATTAAGCCTCAGTAAGCTTTTAAATCAGGCTGACATTTGTTTTGAATCCAGCAGTTTTGTTTGCTTCATGTAAATGAAACCTGACTGCGCTATAACATGCCTGCTATTGTAGCATTGTAAATTGTTGTTTGTTGTGTTTAATTATGCAGTTTCAATTTAAATTTCTGTTTGTGATTATTTCGTCGATTGATTGAATCTTTCTTCCAACAATCAATGCAAGCCTTATTTATGCAGCATTTGTTCATTATCCCGTTGAAAGTCTGTTGAATTTCTTGACCACACACGATGAATGACGAATTCAAGCGAAATGAATGCTTAGGCAATTTTCCTCTAGAGTGTTTTGAAGCGAATAAAATGATGTATATGTATTTATTGCATATATGTATTAATCTCGAAAAATCGGTGTCTGTTATTGAAAATTGATCAAATTTTTTGATTATTCAAGTGATCAGTGGACTGAATGAATGACTTATTCTCACGAGGTTGACTGTATTGTTTTAAGGGAGGAACGTGCAGGAGCTGATGAGATATCACAAGAGACATGTTCGTCATTGAATAATCCAAATGCGAGTATGGTACTGCAAGATAGCATGATGCCGCTTACAGAATCTGGTTTGTTTTTGAGGAGTGTTGCATTACTTTCGCAGACAAGAAAATTTTCATTTTGAAGTTTGCTTTGGCAGCAAAATGGGAAACGCATATGGCGAGTAATTTTGTGCTTTTCTTGATTTGTTGCTCGATGCATTTGCAAATAATTTTGATTTGATTTGAGCAATTATGATTGGGGGAGGAGAGGGCGCAGCCGGGCCATCGCATTCGAGGGACACGAGCGAGAGTGGTGAAGCGACGAAGGATGTGGCTTCGCGAGGTGCCGACAGATCGGATGATGATGATAAGGTTGATTTTTACTTTGTTTCTTGTTTGTGTGGCCGTGTCTTTTTGTATTTTTGAAGCGGTTTTGGCAAAATGCAGTGCATTTTTTTGTACATTTTCCAACAAATAGTACAAATTCATAACAACTGATACTGTTTTTATAAGAATTTGTGTGCTTGTTAAGGATTCAGATGAAGATATAGCTGCCGTAAATGTGCATTCGGCAGCGACGCAAACACGGATTCGTTTAAAAGACATGCGAGTGATGATTACAATTCAAGACATTCATGAAGCATGTGCTGTGCTAGTGGTCTGGAGTGATGTGCACAATTCATACATTTTATTCTGGTCATTCATTTTCGCTATCTATCACGTTTTTGATCAGTGTTAAAGCATATTGTTTGTCGGCACTATACAACTGAATGATTAAATGAAACCATTTAATGTGTGTGTATTTTTATCTGTTAAATTCATATCGTGAACTTTTTTAGCACTTCACCAGTAATGCACTTCGTCAAAGAGAGTTGCCTGAGGCGTATGGGCGTTCGACCTGAACCACAAATTCCATCTCGTCGTCCCAATTGGCTTCTTGCAACCACTACACGACTCGAGTTTTGTCAAATGCGTAAAGCTGGTAATAGGTATGTATTCACAATTGCAATATAGGCTGCTCACTACTCTGAACCGTTTTTCAGACTTATTTAATCGTTTTTAAACTCTGAAGAAGGATCAGTCAAAATTTTCAGTTTTTCGCAGACGTTTTTGAATTAGCATACTTTAAAATATACTCCAACAGAGCTTAACAACGATCCTATGAGTTTGCTGAGTAACTGGACAGTTTTTATATAACAGTCGTCATGACCTTTTAATCTCCTGAAAAGAATCATTGTTACTGTTTTCTACTACTACATTTTTACGAAAAGTAAGATTGCAAATAGATTGCATCATCATCTCGCACAAATGGATCTGATTTTCGATTAGTGAATGAGTGTTTGGAATGATCTTCGTTGCTGTGCAGGTACAGCTTAGCAGTTGGTACGAGATTCTATCGTGTTGAAGTGGAGCCTTTACCACTTGATTCATCGAGTCTGCGTCGACGACGTTCTGACGAGTGATTCAAATATGTTAGCAGTCAATCAGCGGAGTACATTTACGAATCAGTTAATTAAATGTGGTCGCAAATTCAGCCGTACTCGTGGTGGACATTATGAAAGCGCATCGAATAATGATCGTATTAACCATGTATGTAATAATTGTATTAACCATGTTATCATTAACGCATTCTTTCAAAATCAATTGATTGATCGAAGATACACATGACAACATTCAGTTTATTTGTTTTCTTCCATCTACTCGTCATTGACACCTTTTTTATATATTGCGGCTGTTGTCAATATCATCACTGTTACTATTTAATTGTTTTCATTCTATGTATAGTTATTATTTTTTTCATTATAAATTTTTCAAAGGAACCAATTTTTATTTGGGCTCTGTATTTTCGGCTAATTTGACTGGGTGCTTTGTTTTTTATTTTAGAATCAACCCGGAAACATATCTATCTGTTCACGGCCGCCTCTGTTGCTGCTGATGCTGCTGCTTCTGTTTCAACGAATGCTATGCAAGATGCGTTATTCTTCTATTGATTTTCGATCGTTTTTAATTGTTTCCAGTTCATCCTTACGGTCTTATGGCTTCATTTCTGTCATTTTCTCAACCACTGCATATTCATTTTAAACAGTTATCCTCTTTACTGTGGCATATTCCAGTTTGACGGTTAACTTCGCGAACAATTTATTTTCATTTTTTGCATGAGCTAACGCAATTGACTCGATCAGCACAAATTTATCCGATTTTTGCATATTGTTTACTTGCTGAGGAATAGAAGAAAGTTTATTCATCGGCAGAAAATGTTGAAGATAAGTATTGTGAACTGAATACATTTCGACTCTCTTTTTTTATACGGATCGCATAAAAGAGTATGAATAAATTTATTTATTGAAGTGACTGTTTGCTTTCATCACATTTAATTGATGATTAATTGAAGTAAAATATCAAATAATCTTTTTAATTTTCTTATTATTCTGAATATTGAATGAATGGTGTATTTTTTGCATGTGGTATTTGTATTATTGCATCAAAACTGTTCATTGTTACGAGCAGACAGGTCAAGTGAATTATAATTTTATTTGGTTGTTAATTTGCTCTGTAGTGAATTCATTGATTTCATTTGAAACAAATGTTATTGTTATTGTTCACTTGGTGAATCAATTTTGTGTGATATGTAATATTATACATTGTTTGGGTGACTTTTTGTGCTGTTATTATTGTCATTATTCTATCATTGCCGTTCATAATTTTTATCATTTGCTTCACACTTTGAATTTTTATCATAAAGAGGAATCTTTAATGGACTAAATAAAATTATCATACGTGCATCCTGCTCACTTCATTTCAGAGATTACGAATTGAACGTACTCAAACCAAAGGTGAACATCAACTTCTTAATGCGTCGGACTTGTGGTCATCTGTGTTTCTCCCAACAGTGAAAATTGTGGTGAAAAAATTTTTGGAAAATTTGAAAAAACTATAAATGGAATCCACTTTGGGCAAAAAAATATAATTTTCAGAGTTACGTACATTTGCGTGAAAGTAACTTAGAGATACGTGCATTGATCTTGTCAGGAGCTAACAAATCCTTGAAGCATATCTCTGGCATGCCCTTCTTGATCAAGCGAGATGAGTTGAAATTTCCGATTTTTTGACCTTCCGGAATTTTGGTATTTTTCAAAAAAAATTAACTTGCTTATATTTGCAAAGTTATAGATGCAGTCGCATTGATTGTTAAGCTCCTCGTCGTTGACGTTTTCCCATCTGATTAAGACTAAGAATGTGTAATTGAAATGAAGGAATTGGTATGAAATGGAGAAATTAGCGGAGATGGAACTCATTCACTATATCATCTGAGTAGTTGTTTACTGAACTAACCGATTGCTCGATTAATTATTGACCGAATGAAGTGAAGAAGAGAGCACAATCTGAGATGGGGTCTTGAAGCTCGCACAACATACTCAATCATTCACATGAATGTAGCATAAATGTGACGAATGAGATAGATATGTTTGCTGGTTGTTTGTATGCTTTTTGGAATCATACTGATGTGGATGTTGATGATTTGTCGCCATGGATACAAGCATGAAATTTGTTGCCTACCCCCTACGGCATTGGTTCAGTTATAGTTGGTTAGGTGAGTAGAGTTGCTCTACCGACGAACCTTCTCAATCCTATCCGTTAAAATCCATATCGAATCGACGTATATGAACGTATTAATAAAACACTACTATAAATCTACCTTCTTCATTCATGTATGAATGAATGTGCAGCCAGCCAACTAACCCAATTCTGAACTCAGCTACAACTGTTCTGTGTTACCTCTTCGATTGTTTCAACATACTCGTATCATATCCGTTCTTTGAGAAACGTTTCTTCTGAAGCTTTTCAATAAGCCTTAACTCATCCACAACGACTAACCAACCGTCTTCTACGAGTAAACTTTTCGATCAACACCATAGATTACTGTTCTGATCTTATCGATGGTATGCAAAAAATTATCACTCATCATGAAGCAAAAATTTCATTTGATTGCAGCAAAAGGATGCTGGAATATTTAATTAACTGATGTTTCATTCTTAATTCAGGGTCTTTTGGGGATTTTGAGAAAATTCAAGAGTCAGCCTGGCAAGGAACTGAGGATACTACTTTTGGGTGAGTGATAGGAAAGATTTAATTCCGTTTCGTATTATTTGCTCAATTTTTTTCTCTAATAATGTCGATGAATTTGAATAAATTCATGATTGCTGTCGACTTCAAGCATTTGATTAAGAGCAGAGCAGATGTGTCTTAACGAGGGCATTTCGAAATATGTCGTGCTCAGGTGTACATTTCAGTCACGTTTACTTGCACCATTCAAGATAAAAGTGACTTTCAGGCTTGGATAATGCAGGTAAAACAACCATTCTCAAAAACTTAGCCTCTGAAGACATCGCACACATTACTCCAACACAGGTTGCTAATCATTGGTCCATTCCAGTTTCAGTCAAACATTTTCCACTTCAGTTTAATTCTGCCAAGTACACACCTTCCATAGCCGACAACAATAATGGTGTCGTGATCGCAGATAATAGATCAGTTCGCTGTGGTCGTAGCGATTGATGCTCATCAGATCAGTTTCGCATTATGTGCACTGAAGAACTGATTGCGATCTTAAAACAACCGCTTGGCGGACTTTGAACGGTCTTCGCGATAGCTCAGAAATAGAGCCCCAACCAGTAATTAGTACGTTGTGGATTGACCCGGTTCGCGGAGGAAAGTTTTGCTCGAAACCGAGTAGTGTACCAATATCGTTGATGTTGCGAGCCTGAGCCAGGCTGTATTTTGTCTTCTATTTAATGATAGTATCATTAATTCAGGGTTTCAATATCAAAAGTGTGGTATCAGATGACGTTAAATTGAACGTTTGGGATATTGGTGGACAACGTAAAATACGACCGTATTGGAAGAACTACTTTGAAAATACCGATGTTTTGGTCGCTGATTTGCAAACTTTTTTTTTTCTTAAATACAATATTGTACATGACGAGCATTCACCGTTTTTCTGTCCAAAAAAAGTGAATCTTATCTTACCAAGCTAGAATCGTCGACTGCAATACTGATGGTTCAAGAGATATTATTCCAAGAGATTTTTGTGTGCAAAACAAAAGGACTTTTCTATTCTTGAAGAAGTTCTTAGGGTTTTTTGATGGGTTCAGCTGAGGTCATTTACCCTGAAAAAGTTGTTCTCAGCAAAAGTTGTTTTCAACGTAAACCAGAATGTAAAAAGTGGAATGTCCGATAGAACTTTTCGAAAGAAAAATTCGACCACAATCTGTGTAGTTGGTTGGTCGAGATGAGTTATGCAGAGAAAGTTTTTCTTCAGTAACATAACGTTGGTCGTAAGTCTATGGTCGTATCTTGCAGATATACGTTATCGATAGCAGCGATCGTAAACGCTTTGATGAAACAGGCTTGGTAAATGCTTTAGAATGAAAATTAGATATCAATTTAATTGTTGGAACTATGAGAATTTGAATAAAATTTTCATTTCCTTCATATAAGTGTGTGTCAAAAATACAAATGAGCGTATTCACATAAGTTGCATTAAATTTATCGTAAACTTTTTCTGTTATTTCGTGAATTACATTTCTGTCTACAGTTGACACTAATTTTCAGGAACTCTTGGAACTGCTTGAAGAAGAAAAGTTAAAAAGCGTTCCCCTACTCATATACGCTAACAAACAGGTAAGCGGCATTGAATTGATATAGTTTGCATGCAATCTTCAACGTAATACTTTGTGTTTTGGGTATGCTCGTTTCAATGTGTTTGTCGCTTGTGCGAGAGATTATTATGGAATTTCAGGATTTGGTAACGGCGGCTAAAGCAAGTGAAATTGCTGAAGGTCTTCAGTTACTTTCGATTCGAGATAGGTCATGGCAAATTCAAGCTTGTTCAGCAGTAACCGGTGAAGGGATTAGGGTAAGTAGGAACTACTTGATTAGCCGTTGATACATCAATCAAATACTGTCAGTAATAACCTTGAATTTTTGTTCTTAATAAACATTTCTATTGCCGACGCTCATCAGCTTCTCACTAGAGAATTTGTTTCAGGATGGTATGGACTGGATTTCGAAGAATCTGAAGGGTCCTACGTCAAAGTCTCTAAAATGAAAGTGTGTTCGAAATTGTGAAATGCATTGTTATTTGTGTGCACATGTGCACACAAGATAAATACTAAAATCCTTAAAAGCATTTCCCAACAACGATCTATCGTTTGATGTGACCGTTATTCGAAAATTGAAAATATCATTCGGTTAATGTGACGAACACATGATATCATTCAGCATTCGATTTTTCTATGGAATGTTATTCAGAATGATACTTATTATTGCAAACCACATTATTACAGCTTATTAAAAAGTTGAAAATGACTGTGAAAATACACTCCATTAATGAATATATGTACTTATACTAGTTGTTATTCAATTCGTGAAGTTTCAAAAGCAGTCCATCCACCTTATATTGATGATCACGTGATTTATCATCAGCTGCATAACGCAACATGGTGTGTACAGTTCAACAATTTTTAACGAGCTTATTGACTTGTTTTGTGGTACTGAATGCGTATTTGATTATTACGTATTATTATGACGAAAACAAACGACAATAACGTCAACAAGGAATTTTATTACATTCAGTTAATAATCACAACAAATAACTAAATATCTCAACTAAAGGAACAAAACAGTTAACTGCTACGACATTTATTTGGTGTTCGGAAACAGTGGAGAGAGAGAGAGAGACTACGATAATGATTCATTTGAAAAATACTCGCAAGATGACGACACTGCATGATGACTAGCAAACGTTTGGTTGGCCAGCGTCGTTGATTGGGTGAAAATAGATGGAGAAAAAGAAGAAGAATGTTGACATAAGGAATGACCAGCGATTAGTTGACCTACTGTAGTTTATGATCTATCGGCTAAACCCATTACTAAATGACTAGTAGTTGTTATTATCTTATCACTAACATATCACATCGGCGTTTGAAGACCGGTCTGTTCGAGAAGCGGTATTACGTCCTCATCAACGCTCGCGTTCAACGTTGACGTTGTATCACTTTCATTACCTTCAATTAATTAGTGTACCTGTCTATCAGCGGTCAAGATATTGTACGTCTGACATACTGTATTCTTTAGACATTCGCGGTTTTCTTACCTGATCGATTTTCACTGTTGAGGAGATACCTCGGACGTGACTGCTTCGAACCACTACTGCTACCGCTACCACCACCAATGGTTTGTCTGAAAAAAAAGAAGAGAGTAAACGCATCAGCCGCTAACTGTCAAAAGGAGATGCATCATTTTAAAGAATATGATAATTAGTTGAGTGACTGTTTGAATGTAGAAGAAGAGTGATTCAATGACTGACCGTATTGTTCGATCTCTGGCCACATCTTCGCTCATCTTACGATAGTTCGTCATATTCAGATGACGAACGATCTTTGGATTATAGCATTTTGGATCGGAAACCATACGTACTAAGAATGAGCGTTTTTCAGCCAAACTTTTAGCATTTTTTCTCTCGAGTAATTCCTCTTTTGATGTACAGCCACTTGCGACTGCCACTGCTGTTGTTTCTAGTCCATTCAGTGCACCTGAGACGCTGCGACTCAGCTCCTGAATTAATCAATGAGCAGCCGGGCGCTCTGGTTATGGTTAATAAATGACGAGTAAAGCAACCGTCTTGCAGTGCTCGTTTGCTCTTCAATTTCAAAACATTTCTGTGAACCCACTAGAAAGAAATTCCGAGTCCGAACTTCTACGAAGTTGAACCATTGAAGATACTTCCTTAAATTACTTCGACTTTCAACATATGGTCGACCACGAAATTTTTGATATTTTTTAGACTCAATTTTGCTCACTGATTTTTTCAAAGAATATATGGTGCTTATTTCAGGATGATATTTCATCAACAATAGCTTTTTCATGTCAAGAATCATCATATAAACACAAGCAGATAAGAGAATGAATAGTTAATAAATTAGCAAAAGAATACAACACAACGAAATGAAACACACCATAACAATTACAACAACAGTAATAAAAACAATAGCATTCGAAAGAACGAAATAACTAATGTTCGTCGAGGAGTAACTTTCCGGCCGGGGAGGAGGTAGGGGGGGGGGGAGAGACGCCGTCAGAGGGCAAAGTGGACAGGGAGAGGAATGCCCGACAAAAAAGTCGGGAGGAAAGTTGTCGGGAAACGGGTTCCCCGTCTGGGACCCCGTTTTGTCGGGAAACGGGTTCCCCGTCTGGGACCCCGTTTCCCGACGCACACTAGTAATAGCAACAATTAGCAGAAAACTGCAATAGTTATAACAAGTTGCAATAATCAATTTGATTCGTAAAATATTCATTTAAATAGATTCACATCTGAAAGAAGCCAAAACAATTGAAAGAGAATAAGACGGTTAACAATGTTTTAACTGCTCAAGTTTACGCGCAACCATGAAATCAATCACCTGAGATCGAAAAGATTGTTTCCTCGAATGATCGCCCGAGGTTGCATGCTCTTGTATGAAATGCATACAAACGACAAGTATATTTTCTGCAACAAACTAGCACGATTCGCATGCAACTCTACGAAAATGCTCATTAATAAAATAATTCTGCAATGCACTTTTCCATCGATTCAGGTCGTTTATGTCGAACAGCATTGTTATTCAAGTCAGTCCATCAGATACCATCGTATTTCGGTCTGTGGTTTTCGTTGGCAGAAAACAACATACACACATCACAATAAACAACATTGTCTATATAGCACAGAACAACATCAAATAAACATAATACAACAATATAATACTAATAACGATACTGATAACAATATTAATGAGAAATCACACGAGTTTTTTTTTGCATCAGCTAATGTGCTTCTATTGTATCTAACATAGATCGACGTTCCAAGCATAGACAACAAGCCTCATTTGAACATTTCAACAATCCAGTTCTAACCTGAAACAAAAGAGTGCAAATAGCTAAGATAACCATACCAATTCGTATCATCTTTAACAACTGCAACAACTATGAGCATATGCACCAACATGCTAACTAACAATTCATCTAGGCTTATATCTACCCACCTTATTAAGCGTATCTTCTGAATTCGAATAAGCTTTTTCTTCAAGCATTTCCAATTCAGCTTCTTCAACTAGCGGCTCAACAATACCGTCATCTGAAATTAGTCGTTTTTTGTGGAATTCGACTATTACTTGCGAAATGAAATGAAATGAAACGAAATGACATGAAACGGAAACAAACGAACGCATGATATGCTGTGCAGTTTGTGAAATGATGTCGTATGCAATCTGAATGTCACGCTCGTTAGCGTTTTCTGCACAAACACAAAAACGTATCACGAACTGCTGATTCAAAGATGCCGGTACCATATGAATACGTCCCGATGAATTCAGTCTCAAATTTCACCAATGATCGTCGAAACAACAACATCAATACAAGCAAACAATGACTACCCAAAACGAAGAAATTGCACATATATAGACAAACTTAGTGAGTAAGGCTTGATTGGTTTCATTCGAAGCTTTCATACGAAAGCAAACTAATCCCATCAGAACATCACCAACAATCTCGAACGTATCATCTGCACGAATCAATTGCTCGAATTTTTTCGCTAAGCGAACATGCTAAAACAAAAACAAATGTTATCTGCAAAAGACAATCGAAACCGAGAATTGAAAGTAATCAGTTGAATGATACAACAAACAATCAAGTGATTGATATCACAGCCTCTTTACCAATCTCGACAAACAAAAGTGAACCTCTCGAATATAGCTCTGAAGTCCGTTCACTCCATACATTCGAATGACGAACCATAATTTCAACGACCTGAAGCGTCTACTCAACGGTATTCCCCAGTGCCGATAATCAATTGCTTTATCTGAAATTCCTCATATGTATTTGCATTAATGTACATTTGTTAATAAACAGATAAACCATCACTGACCCATCCAACTATGTTGAAGATAAAGTGGATCAACAACAAGCGCTTGTGTCAATTTATAACGGTCCTTCACCCTGAAATATTGCAAAATTTCATTCCAACATCTCGATCGAGCGTAAAATGCAACTAAAAAGATAGATTTCTTTGTGCATACCCTGCCAAATAAGAAGTGAAATTTGAAGTGAAGAAAGAATGAGACGAGCGGGCGTAAACGAACCACATTGTAGAACAATCAAAATTGACAAGCATCCACTTGTTTGGATTTGCATTGAAGCTCATAGCGTATTCGATACCGGACATCAAATACCGAAATTCCGGACATATCATCGCACTGCCACCGTATGCACCATCAACATGCAGCCATAAATCGCTCTGTTCACACACTGGTCCAATTTCAGAAAGCACATCGAACGAGCAAACCGATGTGGTGCCGAGTGTTGTCGAAACGAAAAATGGAATTAAACCAAGATTTCGATCCTCCTAAATTTGTTATTGTTGTGCAATGAGAATTGTTTTGCATCAATACTTTCAGCGATTTACTGATTGATAAAGCTATGGTGACCTACTTGAATGGCAATTCGAAGTGTCTCGCCTCGAAGACGAAACTTTGAGTCAGTCTCTAGAATGCGTAATTTGACCATGGCGATCATGCATGCTTTCTCCACTGATGAATGAGCCTCAAAAAATTTTACTTTCAGAATGAAAGCAAACTAAATTCTAGACAGTAATGCAGCAAGAAAAAAATAACGGTGAAATACCACGGCAATAAGAGCATATGAGTAAACAGTGGAAAAATATTAATTAGACAGTGAATTTAAAACGAGGATTTGAAATTTAGGTAGTAACACACAAACAGAACAACACACCTCTTTGGAACAGTATGCAACAAGTTTTGAAAGTAGAAGTCCCTCTTCGACGAACGGAAATCGTTGACGTAACTCTTTGAGAACTTCGAAACGAGCTGCCAGCAATGAGACAAAATTACATTCACTTGCTGAACCCTGAATAACGCCACCACCACGACCGTTCTCAGTGAACGGTAAAAACGCAGGCGGTAAGCCGATCATTTTCCCGAACCAATCCAGCATAATTATTTCGAGTTCAGTCATCGCTGGACATGCCGCCCATGAGAAACCCATACAACCGATTGCGTCCGATATCATATCGGCCAGAATTGAAGGAAATGAATTTCCAGCCGGAAAATACGCATGAAAGCGCGGATGTTGCCAATGAGTGATCTGCAATAATGATATGAGTAGAATAATGACAACATAATCGTATATTGAAGTCATTGATAATAGTGCAGTGATACTCACGCCTGGCATGATGAATTTCTCAAAGTCATCCATGACAGCCGTATATGATTCAGGTTGTTCGGGTGCATCATGAGGTAGCGAATCGCGCAAATAGCCCGGCTCTATCGCCGGTACCACACGACGTTTGTGTATATTATCCAAATAGTCGACAATATAGTCGACCATCTGCTTGCCATGCTCTCGGAATTCAGCTCCCTTCATTCCACCTACTATTATTGAAACAATTTTATTCAGTACTCTCAATTATGCAAGTGGGTAAATAAGAAAGTTTCCTTCAACTGATAAGCGTCATTACACAACAAAAACGAAAATGTATCATTTGTGCGCCTATAAAACGATCAGGCAGGCGCACCTCTTCTGGTTGATTCGAACTGATCCTCGTCACTGTTATTATTGGTATCGTTGCACTTTTCACTAGTTGATAAGTGAAACTTCTTAGCACGACAACGCAAATTGCTGTCACTTTGTGATAATTCTTCGAATTGTTCACGTCTCACTTCCAACTGTTGATTTCGAAAAGATGATGCACCAATTATCCTCTCGTTGCTACTAACTGCTTTGTGTTGATATTGGTGAAAGTTGCCTTTCAGAGTTTCGTTTAACGGTAAAATATCGCTTCGTTCAAACGCTTGCTCAACTTTCGTCGCCGTCAACAGTGTGAATTGCTTTTTTAAAACAATCGATGATTCGGCGTTTTCAATTGTGGCTGTACTAGATGATGAAGCACTTTCGAAATGTATCGATGTTGCTGTGGCCGTAGGTGTTGGTGATGTTGGATTACCTAAACAAACTTTTCTATTTACTCATTTATTCGTGAAGCAAAGTGATAACAGCGTTAGCAACACAGTTCTGCTTTATGTTCACTACATTAATGATAAAACATTAAGTAGGGACGCGAATTGATAAGATGAAAAAATAACGATGAGATAAGTCAAAAGCATCCGACTGATGCATGTGACTGTCAGTGACTTCTCAAATGAAGACACTAGATGATATGATATGAAGGTGGGAAGAAGCTAGCAGCGACCGAATGAACTTACCTAATGGTGTCAGTGATGAAGTTACAACTGAAACGCAATGTTGAATGTAAGCTGAAAGTTGTTGATAAAAGATGGTGAAATAATGCTGTAGAATAGTGACGAGTCGTTGCTGTTGAATGTGTAGAAGGCAGAGTAATGGAACGATGAAACGTACGAAGACCTCGAGAAAAAGCTTCAAAAGCATGGCTAAAAGTAGTATGACCATTTCATTTCATAAGAAGTTTGAATGGATTATTTACATCTGATTATGACAATTCGAAATGCTTCAATCTCTTCAAATGGCAGTCAAGCATCTAAAACAAATAATGAAATGATCATGACGCCATTTACATACGATGGATAAACAGATTGCTGGATAAACATCAGCATTATTCAGTTGAATATCATTCATATATGCATATTATCCAGAGATGAGTGCCATACTTATCAGCTCAACTCATTCAATTCAGCTACTCAACTCCATTTTAATAATCCGTTCTTATGACTTGTCATCTATCATCTGATTCCTTTATGCGTCGTTTCTCTATGTTTCCTGGTGTTGCTAGTAGATTGTTTGTTGTTGAGCGATTGTCAGCACTCAACACAACTCGATGATATATTATCAACTGAGAAGACTATTTAGCAGTCAAGCACTTCTCGATGATAACATCAATAATCTTAGAGAAATCATCAACTCTTTTTGTGCTGCTGCCTCATCTTTTTCTTCTGTAACTTATCATTATTGAATAACAAAATTACCTAACCACTTCAACAGATTTAATTGACTTAGTAATAATCAAACAGCGAATGAAATCAGAAGCATTCATTCAAAATAACCGAAACATTATGGTCTAGAACGGCCAGATAAACTCGGAATTTTCATTAAAACTAAAACAAAAATAAAAAAATAAAAATGCCATGCACATACATATACACCCACGAGATTATTTGAATTTTTATAACCCTAATCTGATCACTCTTTCAGACATGAGCAATATTCCATAGTCTTATAAGGTACGACATATATGTATGAAATGAACGATGGACGACAGCTTGTGATGACTAGTACAGAAGGAAATAGCAACTACTAGGTGGCTGATGAAAAGGTGATAAGTGATACCGTTTATGATCAGGAGAGGAAAGGAAGGGTAAGTTCATAGTGGATGCACTTGTTACCATTGATATGAATGAGCTATCAACGGTCATCATCCTATCATATTCATTTTCTTCAAATCAACCAAACATTTATGCGTAAATATGTTTGTACATATTTACTTTTGGCTCAAGTATATGCGAACAGTGCGGATAGCCGGAATAACAATAAGTTCAATGAATATATTGCAGTTCTTCTATCGAGCCCACAAAACTATACCATTTGCGATAGTCGTAAAATACTGTGGATGCTAGCAAGCAGGAAGATACATTGGAAACCCTCTCAAAACATTGCTAAAATGCCGAATATTTTATAAAGTCGACTCACGACCCACTTGAAATTTCTATCAAACATTAGTTAATTCAACATGTCAAAGTTCAATAAAATTAATTGAGGGAAAATAATCTTCATTCGCTAGTTTACGTCCATCAAAATCGATACGATGATCATATTTCATTTATTGTTAACATTATTATTGCTATCATCAAGCGTATTCCATTCGTTCTAATCAAAACTCATCTGTTATCACAAATTTCATGTTACTTTGAACAGCATCAGTTGTTTCAATCTACACTCATGACCAAACTTGACACTATAACTGGCATACGGCGTTCAAGAAACGGCTCAGCAAACCTGCTCAGTCAATAAGTAAACGCTAACTTTCGATAAAAACTGATACGTCAATTCACTTACGTAACTAGTCGATCAGTTTCATTTGAAACAGCATTGTTGGTGATGTGCATTGTCAACTATGTACATTATCAACTAATCGTTGTTAATCAGAATAATTATTATTATCATTATTAAATATTTTAACAATATAATATTATTATATATTAATAACAATATATCAATCGCCACACTAACAATAATAATAACTATTATCGTTATTTTCATCGCCATCTTCATGATACCTGTACAAGTCTTCCCCAGTTTCAATCTGCCTTTCCACTGTGAAGCACTGATTGTGATCGATCGAATTTCGATCGGTAAAAATCTAGAAAATCGGATTTCGAGCGAAGACTTTTGCAATTTAGACGGAATACCGAACTGTATAATAGTGCTGGCATCTGAAATTCCGTTCGGATGCCATCAATGTTGTGAAGTTAGCACAGTTCGTCAGAACTGATTTGGCTATGCTATTTCAATATGTGATACCCTTCTTCGGCTTCAGATCAGCATTGCAGTCTTGATTCAAATGAAGAGATAAACACATAATTATTATTGTCATTTTAATTAAAATTACAATAAATAAACGAAACCGAATAGAACCGTTAACGTTAATAAAATAAATACATTTGAACTTGCAGTGAACTTATACATGCGCGCACACACTCTCACACACACGCTCATAGAAATACTCCAGAATGAGATCCAAAAAATAAATAAAATTACAATGAAATTGAAAAATCATTAAAAAATAATGGCGACTGGCAAACTAATTCGTTATTGCGTAACAATACAATAATAATATGCAATAGGCAATATTTAAATATCAATAGTAATAAGCATAATCATATTATAATTTTTCAAAAAAAAAACATTTTGCATTCGAAGAAAAAAGATGTCGCCTTCATCCTCTTGAGAAGTTCACATCATCAAATCAATTTTGAAACAAAATTGCTGCTCACGAGCATTAGCTCGTGTTCCAAACAGTTTCATCGCAAACCCAAATGTATTGACCAATCAAATAAGCAAAGAATGATTTGTTTTTCTAAATACCATACGTGAACGACCAAAAAAAACATCAAATTTCTCAGAAATTAGATTGACAGATGAATAGCTTCAAAAGGTTATTATGAAACATGAAGGTAGCAGGACGGATGAGTGAGTGCATTAAGAAGCGAAAAACGACATCCTCAGCATAACGAACGTACAAAAAACGCGTGGGCAGTAGTTGTCTTAATAGCAAAAGCATCCATGAAAAAGTGCATATGAATTTTTGATAAAATCAGTCTTCATTCAATTGAATCAAATATACATACTTAGACACAGAAACATTCCTCAACCAAATTGGGTACAAAACTTCACTCAACTGAGACAAAATATGTGGGAAATTGTTCATTAGATTGAAAGTCAAGATCATCTGACAGAACGATCGATCCGAAACTATTCCAAATTTCTCTTCAAAGAATTTCAGCAGTTAGCAACAAAAACAACAACAACAGCAGCAGAAAAAATATTCAAGAGTCACATACACACACAAATAAATATGCACGCTGAAATAATGATAATATGAGAATTTCAACCGGATGAAACGATAAAAAATAAATAAGGTGAAATGGAATCAAAGAGGAAATACATAAGCAAATTGCAAAAAACCAATGATCACAGCATACTTTAGCATGTTGCACATAAGATTGACGATGAAATATGCTCACTAGTGAATGGATGAATAAATAAATGAAAGTCATAACGAACACGAGCGGGCCAGCCTGCTATTTCGTTTCTATCTATTGCAAAAAATATATCCTAGACACGTCATCTTAATGACTAATAATGGTCATAATCATGATTCACTTGGTCACAATTGCTATAGTCTTATAGCCATATCATTTTCATTCAATTACATATCAATAAACGATTTGTCGTCTGTGAAATGCTCGATAATTTTAAAGCATAGAGTCAGTTGTAATGAAGGAAACGTTCCAAAAAGTGACAAATGTCACAAGACCATCCTCACTACCACCAATCACAACAACAAAACCACTTCATCATAGATCTGTATTCACAATAACCGATTATCGCTATCATATCAAGCCACGGCACGATCGACATTGAATTCTTATCAATCGATCACAGAAGCCACTCCTCACGCATGATAATAATGATACTGAGGTCGGGTCACGCGTTCGTCATTCGTTCCTTAACAATTACTGACATATCAAAATACCCGAGAGCCGGACAATTAATTCTTCATACATTATACACACATAAATATACATATCGAACTGAATAGCGGGTAACATTAAATGTGTAGAAATGTGCCACAATAATGATACTGATAATAATAACTCGAAATGATAGCGTTTAGTGGAGTTAAGAAAAGACGACTAAACTTTTATGAACTGAATAAAGTAAGAAATAGGGGCACGAAAAGTCAGTAACTGAAGCGTAAAATAAACAACAGAAATCAATCAAGAATAAGATTGGATTCAAAAGAGATTTAGAGATGAAATCAAATATGCTCAATATCAAAACAGCAATTATCACCATCCATTATTTCAGCATTATCATCACCCTCAATCATTTTCATCAAATTATCAGTAAAATGAACATAATACAAATGAGACAAACACTGACCAAATGATTCATTAATCTGAAATGATATCCAATGCGTCACCATCAAATTCATATATTTTATTTGGATATTTCATATGGATAATTTGGATATCATATCGCTTTACGTCATCTGTTATGTTCATATAAACAAAAACTTTATATATCGCTTTACACATTATCAAAACATTCTTTCGGCATTCATCAGTTGGAAAGGAATACAAAGATTTGTGATAAAACAGATATCATCACATTAATAGATATAAGCATATACATATAAGATAAATAACGCACACACGTATACTCGAAGCAAACATTGTGTATCATACCACAACACAATATAGTACACTTTGTTTCTTACAACAATAATAATTAGAATAACAATATTACTTTACTGTCGTTCGTTGCACACTTCATGGATGTACGAATGGAATTTTGCGTAAAGATTACGGTGATACTTATATTTATGTATTATGAACAAGAGATATGTAAAGTAATCCATTCACTCATCAATTATGCCCGTGATAGTAATAATGCTCGAAATAAGGGAATGATGAAACTGCCTGGAATGATCACATAAGAACACTGCAGAGGGGAGAGATTTGATGACCCTTGTCATCATAAAACCGACCGACCGTATAATGATAAATTATGTATTCATAAATAACAATAAGTCAATCAATCAGCAAGGTGATTCAAAAAACTGGTAACTGAAATACACACACGCGCCACCCACTGAAATATTATCTCAACTCCGTAAAAGAACCACGTTAAATGACGGGATACAACCTAAGTGCGTAAGAATCAATACGATCCCTCTTCTTGCCACCCTCCTCTTACTACTCCTACTCCCCCACACCTTTCCCCGTTATCGCTCTCCAACAAAGTGGAATGAAAAATAATAATGACACAGACGAAAAGGCGTGGTGCAACATGAAAACATTACTAAATGGATGATGCAAAAAAGTGTGTGCATTATGTGGTTTACCCGTAGGATAGAGCAGCGTATAAGCTGCTGCTGATGTCCGGAGTTGATGCGCGACAATTAGAATAAAATAAAACAACGAGATAAGAAGTTCAATGAATAAATCGAAAATTTCACAGACTAAATGAGAATAATTAAAACGAGAGAAAAAAAGAGGTGAAAAACATCAAAATAATAATTAAGCGAGAAAGCACGTTGAAATGAATTTTTCTTTAAAAATTTATGTTGCAAACAGTTGCTGTAGTGAACGCGTAAGAAGCCTCATTCACTACATAACAATCAAACTGAAGTCACCACTGCCATTCATGTACCACTACACTGATGGTTTCAAAAAATTGAAACGATCATGAACTCGACGAAAGCGAATGAGTTTTAAAAAAAACAGTCGAAACGACAAAAAAGTAGAATGTTTTGAGGGAGAATGCCATTAAAGTAGAATCTCATTAATAGTTCAGACCACTGACGTGAATAATCTGTCGATAAAGAAACGTCGAAATTTGATCAAATCGATTGCATCACTCTTTCACAAACAGTCATTCGATAGGATTCACTACTTCGATAAGAGGAACGAACAGAACCAAGTGATCATTTCAATCAAAAGAGATGCAGTGGTGAACGACAATGTCAACAATCGCCTCAGATGTAACTCAGCTAACGATAACAAAAAATTCTCTTCAATAAAAAGCGTACAGCAATATTCGAGCATAGTTAGCATTAACACTAAAAACAAACTCTAATCGAAACCAATAATAAGTAATCATAAAACGAGTATCATCATCAACTTAATCCATCAAGCATCACCAATCCTTCATCAGCAGCGCCATTTTCGCAGTAAAACTCAAACAGTGATGTGCGCACTCGCAGAGCGAGCGTGGCTATTTGCCACCAAACGTGGACGACGATCTGAACCCGATGATGAGCCGTCTCGTGGTGGCTCTATCAGTAGCATCCTACTACACTGAAATTATTACCCTTACTAACTAATATCATTATCATTGATATTATAATGACATCAGTATGAATGTTGCTCTTATTAGTAAGAATACTACTTTATTCATCGACAGCTGAACGAATCAAGGTAAGAAGAATGAAAACTTGCATTTTCAGGACCCAACGTCCCCGTATTACTATCATCTGAATCGTTACGTCGATGCGTTTGCATTTCTTGCATATGTCGTTTATGGCTACCACCACCACTCTTCCTCCCTGGTGGAGGCGGCAATCTATCGCTGTCATCCACCGGAGTTACCTAACCACGTTCAATTACACGAAAAGAATCAAACCAGAACGTAAAAAATGAATCAATCAACCATTCAAACTCACAATCAAAATTGTCTTTTGAGATACAGTGAATACAAAATTAATAAAAAGTGTCAACAAACCAACCTCACACGGTGGTCCAATAAGCGACAAGAGAACAGGTAATAAAGCAAGTCCATTGAGCACACCAATCGCGATCAACGCCGACATCACCACGAAGAAATACTTGACAACAAATTCGAACTCAGAGAATGCCAACATGATAATACCAAGCAGAGTAGAGAAAGCACCATGAATGACCGGCACGAAAACGCGATCAACTGCAGACGCCATTCGAGATTCGCGATCACCCAACGACGTTAAGAATGCTAGCACAACATGCGCCGTAAATTCAACACCTTCAAAGCAAACAACTGCTCTGATTAAAGCAAAAAATATTTCATCCTTTTTCACTCCTAAGAACTGTACTAAACAATAATCAGAAGTAACAATAATCAGCATGTCACGAAAAAAGAGCATGAGAAGCATAACAACGTTATGCTTGCAATATCATAGAATCGTATTGATTAAATAAAAGAGAGAACTCAATGACGAGTGAATATTACAAACCGATGCCAACTGCAGTGATGATTGTAACCGCTGATACGGGATTGAGTTTGATACCCGCTAAACCAAGAAAACCAGCTAATTCAATTGTCATTAAGACGAGAATCACCATTATAATACCTTAAAAAAGTAACGATGATAAATGCAATCCTTTCTGATATCTTTCCGAAATGTTCAAAAAAAGCAGGTCCAATCACAATTCTTCACAAAATTTAAAAAGTTTTCAGCACGGGTTAGGATTTTGTTGAATAACAATGCGGCTACAGCCAAAGGACAGCTCGTTAGACCTGGCCGTTCATCAGCTAAAAGGGGTTTAATTTTTTGAAAAAAAAAATACACGACTGCCGATTCATGACAATCGAAAATTTTCGGAAAAATACGACAAGTGTTCAGAATCAACAGGAAATCTGTGAGGAGATAGCGAAGGACTACAATAAAGTAGTGAAAACATCTGCTTCATAGGTCCATTCGTTGAGGAGCAACAAACATTTTATCTTTTTGATTAAAAAAACCACGACTGTCGAAAATCGGAAATCAACATAGATTTTTGGAAATTATGAAAAACTTCAGAATGAGCTAGTAATCGGCTGAATAACAGTGCAAGTCGGGAAAAATTTACAGCTGAAAGGACAGCTCACTAAGCTTAACCGTTCCTGAGCTATGGCGATTTTCAATAGAAAATAACAACCGCATGAAACCAGGAACGAAACAAACCTGCAGCCCATGGATTACAAATAATTATTGAAATGACAAAGAAGACAGCAAAAGCAATAACGCATATTGCTTGCGCTAAATTTGAGCTTAAGTGCAAATATTGCTCCCAGAATGTGAACGCTATCCCTGACGGGAAATTCGGCAAGCCTTCGGATGTAAATTTATCGCAAACCGCTCGTATCTCCTACAAATTAGAAGAAAACATTCCTTCTGATTCAACATTTTAGGATTGTCACTGCTCAACAATCACACATTTATATCAGCACAAATTTCTATGAATATACCACTGTTGTTGGAAAGTAAAAGATGACAAATAATAGTAATCAACTTTCAAATCTGAATAGAATCCTAAAACGAATTTACTTTGATCATCTCAACGATAACTGGAGTGTCTGTAAGACCGGTAAGATAGAATGGTATCTGGCTATAAGCAAACGGTTCAGCGGGTGGTACTAACTGTGACACACCGCCAGCTGCTTCTTCATATGACCATCTGAAATTTTACACTTATACTGTTTATTAGCAAAGAGAACAGGAATAATAGCGATGAGAATAGTAATAAGTTTTTTAAATGCTACGAATATTGACAATAGTTATTTTAATAATGCTACGAATAACAATGACAATAATAGAGTGTAAAAGTGACAATTGAGTAGTACCGAGGTGGAGCTGGAAAGAATGAAGCTTGTGAAACATGATACATCATACTGTCTGAATTATACCAAGCCGTTAGATAGTTATAAAAACCATCCACATTTATTGTTCCACTCTCGTCAACTAGACGTACTTTTCCCAACTGCAAAATTCATCAGCTTCATATATTCGTAATCTTATTTACACCTCTCCATCAACATCTAATGAAACATTTCATAGAAATCAAAAAAACTTACTCGTCCACGGCAATCATATTTCTGACCAAAACTGCACACTAAACGAATCGCGACTTTTACATCAGCACTCAGTCTTTTGGTGGAATCAACGAAAGCATTCTGGTTATCACTCTCAATTAAAAGTGAAGAACCATTTGTCACGTTGACCTAAATTGCGCTATGGTAAATGAATAAATAATAAGCAAATGATTAACGATGTACACCAACAACAAACAGTAATGAAACAACGCACATGACGCGCATCAATTGCACGATCTAGTTCAGCTTGAAGAGACCGTAACCATGCTCGCATCAGTGATAACCAATATTTTTCACTTGGCTCACCACCATCTATTTTCACAACGAAACGAGATCTTCCTATAAGAAACTAGACAAAAACATCCATACACGTTCATATTCATCTCAATTTGGTCATTAAAATGCAATCAAGTATTTCTTACAGTGGGATACGAAGAAATATTTTAAAAAAAAGCCAATATTAATCATAACCATAACAATAACAGACTAAATACACACCAATACTTCTTCTGTAGTTGTCAATCTTATGCTGATCTCGAGCATAATCAATATTCGGTCCTTTCAAAACGGCGAACATAGGATAGAAACTGAAATAACGATCGCGAGCTTTCAAGAACGCAGCCGGCGCGGTATGTTCAGGTAAAACATCGCTTAGCTCAAGACCGTACGATGCGCGACGCATACCGATTAGACCAGCGGCTAGTAAGCAACCACAAACAAACAGCACGAATATCTGCAAATATATATTGCGCAGTTGAAATAATAATGATAACCATAAAAGAAATGCCAACAACAGTAACGAAAAGAATAACAATACTGATATTGATGTACCTTTGTTGAAGTGTGTTTCAAGAAAGGGATATAATAATGTCTAAGAAAAGCGTGCAGTGTCCACGGTTTAACGTGATCATCTTCGAAGTCGTCTTCGCGTTCATTACGTGAATACAAATTGTGATATGATGGTACTGATTCACCCACTGTGCGTTTCTCCTTAAAGCGTTTCGTATCATATAATATATTTCATCAGCTGTTCACATACTCATAAAACAAACAGCTAAAAATACAAACCGGTATATGCGGTTTAACACCAATACCTAACGTGTATCCATCATCACTAATCAACGATTCATCCGCAACAATACAACAGCACACATCACGTCTCGCGCTCTTGCGTCTTCGTAAATCAATTGAGATTATTGCCGGATAGATTGTTAAAATCGCCAACAAATTGAACGTCAACAGAATTGATGACTAAACAACAAAGTTTTCAATTGATCATTCAACGAAAACAGATCACCTATGAACAATTCCTCCAAAATTACGATGAAGTTAATTTATCAAAAATATCAGTAGGAATATCCACATGAATACTAAACAAAGAGACCATCTTCATCTATCCACCTAGCTTCACATTAATCAGAAAATTATCACTAAATACTCAATCAAAGCTTCGAAACATTTAATGTCCCAGAGAACGAATGAGACTGCCACAACGAACCTGCGCACAGAAACCTCGTAACGCAGGAATCGGTAGAATTGTACCGGCTAGAAACGACAGAATATTATTGATTGACGTCATTAAGACGCTCATACCAGTCTCCTTCATGAGCATACCCACTTCGTCGTTCTTAACACTCTCCACGACTCCATGATAATTATGTAACAACAAAAACATATTATCCACACCAATGCCAAGCGTTAAAAACGGTACAATCTGCAAGTTGTATTATGAATCAATATGATCTAGTATTATCATAACATACCTGAGTAGTAGCCGCATTGAATTCGATTCCGAACCAAGTGGCAAGACCAAGACCCGATACTGAGGCAAACGTTACGGTTAGAACACCAGCGAATGCTAGACCAACGCATGAATCTGACGTGAACATACAACCGTGATGGCGCATTTGTGCTTGCAGAGCATAAGCCAGCATCAACAAGTAGCTGAAGCACGTCCATATTTATCACTTCCATCACGAATGCAAAGATCATCATCAACTACTATGAAGCAATTCATATGCACACACACATATCACTTACTACCAAAATAACACCTATATCTATTCAACAATTGAACTCGACATGTTCGTCACTCACCCAGCAAATATGATCGTGTAATTGAATTGACAAAACTCTTCGAGCATATCTGCGATCGACGTGGACGCAAGCGGATGCACACGACGATGTTCATCAACGATATTCCCGTCAGAATCGTATTCGAAATTCCATCGATGATTATAGAGATTATGCGTGAAATTACGCTGCCATGTTCGGATCACCTCCTCGGCAACACTTACGTTCCACTGTGTAGCATTCAAATGCGGTTTTAAATGTTTCCGTTTATCATCCTATTCAACAAATGATATTAGTATAAAATATGGAATAACCAAATACTTATAAACGAATCAATGAATGAAGGGACTCTTTCCTCTGACTGCAGGAGAAAAAATAATTACACGGTAAAGAGGCGAAGAAATAATTTCGTTGTAAAATACATCAAAATGACATCTGATGGTGGCAAATGACTGGAACAAACCTTGAATCTAAGATAGACGTCATTTGGAGAAGCGACCAAGAAAACACTTTGAAGTGCTTCAGCCGAGTCCACTTGTTGAATGCCCAGCTTAGCGCCGCCAATAATCAAATCCTGTGGCCATGACATAACCCCTTTTGCAAATCCCCGACAACCTCCATGTACCACCTTACCATAATTCGCTTCAACAGGATATTCGGACTGAAGGAATAAATGGATGAACTGATGCAGTATTACGCTTCACCATCATATTCAGTTTACATTCTACACAACTGTCTTTCAAACTATGAGCCGCACAAAAAAAAGACTTGACAGCAGTGAAATATTCTAAAGTTGGATTGGGTCGGGTACTCCTAAGAAGTGTTCGTCGGGGAGCAGTTTTTCGGACGATGGAGGGCCGCGGGGAGAAAACTGGGCGGGGGGGAATCCTCGCAAAAATTCGGGGAGCAATCTTTCGAGTGGGAAGTCTCCGTAAAAAAAGTCAGGGAGCAAATTGCGCGGGGGATACCACGTCGGGAAATGATCGCTCTCCCTGTTCCCCGACGGTGAAGACGGGGAACATTTCAGCTCAATTTTTTGATAGAGTTTCAATTTCTTAAAGATCTTTCTTCTTTTTTTAAGAAGTCTTTTTGAAAGTTCCGTTTCAGCTTTTTAAATAGAATTTTCCCTCCCGATGTGTATCTTTAGGAGTGAAATGAAATCGTTTATCAATGATAATGCGCTCACCACTACAGCTTTAAATAGCATGTCGTTACCATTCAAAAATCTCACAATAAATTGGTTTTATTCTATTTAAATCTCTATCTTATCAGTTTTATCCTATCTTATTGTTTCCAATATCGTATCACTTTTACAGTGACTCACGCCCTCAACAATAATTATCGAAAACATCATCAGTATAGAACAAAGTGAGAATTTTTGAAGTGTTTGATAAACAGACGGATTTAGTGTGCGATATACAATGTCCACGCGCCTATCAAAGTCAAGCAAAAAATTTCAGTGCGCAAGTAGTACTAATGTTTATGAAGATCCGAGAAATGCAGAAAACAAACGACGAATATATAGCTGAAAAAATAAATGAGTAAAGAGGCAGATGAACGACTTAAGCAAATGACGAAGAAATAAATATTATCATCAACAACAAAAAAAAAGTTCTGAAAAAATTCCATACTTCTGAGAGAAATTCATTCCATTTATCTGGATTATTTTTCATCCACGTTGACATTGATTGCGCATATTTCTTGCATCGCGTCACTATAAATTTGGCATTAAGTCAGTGGATGAACATTGTGCTGGTTCTTTTGTTTCTGTGGGACAAAATGAATGTATATTTTCGAAATTCCATTTTATTCAATTAAATTTGTTCGATTTTTTCTAAATCGACAATTTAATAAATAAATGAATGAGAAGAAAAAACAATAAAAGCAAAACAACAATAACAACAACATTTCAGCAGCAGAAATAATAACAACAACAAAAATAAAACCAAAATGAAAAGGAACTCTAATGGTTATTTAACTAGCGGTGCACGCAGCGCAGTGGTGATTTATGCTTTTTTCATTTTTGTTGATTACTGACAATGAGATTACTTCTTTTCGTTAAGCAAGGAACGGAAATGAGGAATAAAAACTTCATAGTAATCCTACAGAAAATTTTGCAAAATGGACGACTTTTTTGGGATTGAGATTTGAATGAAATTTAAAAGCTCGATATTGCAGAGAATCGCTTTATTTCTCATCCGAATCAGTCAATTCACCGACTGATCCTGATTCTCAGCTCGAATCCACTCGCCCGTTTACTGTTCATGAATTCGGGTAAGTATACCACTGAGCATTTCAATGATAACAACCAACTGATAGACAATCCAAAACCACCCAAAAAAAACAACACCAATCAACAAAAATATCTGCAGCAGTAGCAGCAACAACACTACCACTAAAGAACAGAATATCAGCAGTAGCACCACTAAAATCAGTCATTATTATGATACAGTATAACCTCGAACATATATCCCCACTAAAAGCAAAGCAACAATAAAAGATATAGTGGGATCTACATTCGTGCACTTCTGGTGCATAGTGAATAAGAATTAAAAGAGAAAAATGAAGTAATATGAAGCAAATAAAATGGAATATTCACTCATTCATTCTCGATTCAGTCAATCAGAATCAATCGTACAACAATCCAGACAAATAAATGAATGACTGCAAAAAGAGCAGATGAACATGAAATTAAATGAATAAAAATCACAAAAGGAAAAAATTGAGAAAGAGAACGAATCAATCAGTGAATCGATGAAATGATGGTGAAATCAAATTTAAGCTGACAGAAATAAAGTTGAAAATAAAATTTAAATTGGCCTATGTATTTTACTGCCTCTGTGCATATGAGTGCACACGTTTCTTCCATGTACATGAGTATGCAGCACACATTTGTGAAGTGAGATGAAGAAGTTTTGATGTTTTAGGAAATTAATGAAAGTATAAAATATCAAAAGATGAAAATTCACAGTTGAAATATCGAAAAAAAAGAAAGAAAGAAATCACAACGCACAAGAAAATCAACCTGACTTGATACGAAAGCAAGAGGTGTGCAAAAATGCTTTTAAAAATCACAATAACAACAAAAAACAACGATAAATGGCACGAGATATGAAATGGGCCTTCAGTGAAACAGTTAACAACTGGAAACAATAAAGAGTAAAGTAAACTAAAATAAAGTGACAGACAGCCACTCAGGTTAGCCAGCCGGCTAGCAAAATAAATGAATTTTGATCGTCTCAACTTTCTACTTCTTCTTCAAACAAAATGGTAACACCATATCAGCAACAGCATATCATGTTACATACAAATCATATCATGCACACACGAACAGCTTTGAAAATGCAACCGATTCATGCACTATCATCCTTCTGGCCTCTCCTTCTAATGTCAGTGTGCAAGTGGCATTCCCATTATTTTCACACGAGGCGTGGAAAAAGACGATGGTGAATTGTGTGCGTTTATTAATGAATTAGTAGTTTCTTTATGGATCTGATGAAGTCTCAACTGCGATTCGATTCAGAGAGTCCATCATTAACAAACGCAAACACAAACTAATATTACAGATTTATACACGGCTGAATATTGCTACCAAATCATCTGCTTTCTTATATTTTAAAAAACGGTGACTGCCAGTAAGATAGGTGATGACGTTTTGGAGATTTGTGTCGCACAGATAGCACACAAAATAAAGTATTCGAATGGGTAATTAATCGAACTCAATCAAATGCAGCACTGTTAAACGTGTAAAATAACCCATGATTATAATTGACACTTTGAACAATCGCTAACCATGCCATCATCATCTATTGCCATACCTCTATTATTATCAAAACACAAAAGCCATTGTTTATTCAGTGATCATCGCATGCTGCATCTACGATAGATGGATGGATAGATAGATGAACTAGATAGCAAACAGGCAAGCGACTGTGTTGTGCTGCGTGTGTGTTTGTGAGAGACGAGCGAACGAACGGACGGACTGACGAACGACAGCACAGGTCAGAGGTCAGGCTAACCGTTCGGATTGTCTGCCTCATCATCTTCTTCATTATACAGATCGCTCAGATCACTGTTGCTGTTGCTGCTGCTACTGCTATCACTGGTATCAGTACTGCTTCTCCCGGATTCTTTACCAAAATCAGATGATTTGTGATGGATAACCGCCGACTCGTCCTCGGCGGCCTCCTCTGTCTCACTCTCCAATTCCTTCTCAGCATCATCACCTTCATCTTCTCAAAAATTCATGTTAATTTCTTTCACATTCATTCATTCATTCAATCAATCAACCCTTCATTCACATTCTGTTCATTCACTCTTTCAAACGGCTGAATGCTTCTTATAACAATTTTGCCAATCGTAAGCATGTAAATCATCAAGAACAGAACGTTCCTGGTTGAGAGTGTGTTCACACCGAACTGGATATTTATTCAGAGCGGACATTTGTTGAGCTTTTCAAGCCATTCTTTGAGTAAAGATGGTTGTCAGATTAGTCATCCAAGAATGCAGTCACGACTATGTATTTTCCAATTTTGACTACCTTATTCCAATCCGGCGTAAATACGGTCTCATTTGAAAATCACTTTATTATTTTTTTCTTCAGACAGATTGCACAACGTATGAATCATCATCATGATAAATAAGACTGCAGCTGAAGCAGCAACCGACTAATCAATCAATCAATCAAACCAGAAAACCAATCAAAATCAATTATCTCTTTCTCAAGAAGGAAAGCCTACGCATACAATAAAACCAATTATGAATTATAATGAATTACGCATTAGCGTGGTGTGGGGACGGGAAAAAATTGGGGAACGGGGGAAATCGGGGACGAAATTTTGCAGTCAAGGACCGCGAAAGTGTACAGTCGGCTCAAGATCTGTCGGAGAAAGGGTCCCCGAAATTCCCCGATTCCCGCACCACACTAGCATATATGATATTTCGTAAAAATGACCACTGCTACCCGGACATTTTGCCTGAAGAAGTTTTGACTAAGGACAGTTTGCCTATTAGGCAGAATATCCATTAAAAAACCGTCCTTAGGCAATGTGTCCTTAGACAAACTATACCATATAAACTAATTACTAATTTAGCACACTGAATCACTGCTATCACTATCGTATGTGGCAGAATACTGATAACGATGAGTTTGATAATGGTGACAGAATGTATCACATAGATGAGATTTTACTGTGTTCATCATCGAGAGTATCATAAAGCAAAATTTTAGAGCAGCATGATGGCCTCCTTTGAATAACATTTTTTCGTTCTTCAGTTCAATACAACAAGAAACAAGTGCATTCGAAAACTCGTATGGGAGGAGGATGAACGAAAAATGAAAACTCACTCGTTCGCACGAAAAAATTTCACACTTTCAATATTTAGTTTTTTTCAACAATTTACGTTAATACTCAGTGCGTAAAAATTGTGAACAAATTGATTTTTTGCCACCTATCAAATTAATTCTTTTATTGAAATCAACCAATCACCGACCATGAAATGAAGTAGAATGAAACAATGAAAGACAAAGAATAAAATAAATGAATGAATGTTGATGAATCCAAAACGGACAGACCAACGAACGAATCAATCTTCAAAAATGATTGAAGTCACGAACCTTTTTCTCGATGTTCTCTTCGACGTTTTGTTTCCGGATGTTCAGTTGTTGTCGTTCTTATTGTGCTTTGTTCCGGTTTTTTTGTTATTCTACTGCCAGTAAAATGATGCTTATCAGTTTTCAACACTGCCACCATTCCACGTGTCGATTGTGTCATCGGCAGATTCGTTGACGTTTCGCCCTCTGCGATAGGGTTTCTAGCTGTCACTCGATAGTCACTACTTCGATTGCTAGCACCATTCTTATCAGCACCATCATTAACACCACTATTCATATAAATGCTGCTGCTGCTGCTATCATCATTTGTAGTCAAACTTGCTCGCATTCGATCAATTTTGGCATCATCATTCTTACCAGATTGGCCACCAAATGCGGATTCAGGTTCTGGATTCTTCACAGAACCAACACCATCTGAATTCGAGTCCATCACATGAGATGGTGCCCGAGCGATCGACTTACGATCATGACGTGCTGAAGGCTCCATCGCTCTATCAACCCCTCTACTAATCTCTGCGTTACGTTTCTTCCCTTCAAACAAAACAAATATTTACACTCATACCCATATACATATATCACAAACAGCTGAATCGTTACTCATTCATTTCATCACACAATAATAATGATCAATCTTATCAATCGAAACATCACAAATTTGAACGATGATTCATTTTTGTTTAATTCAAAAATGTTCAATATGAAAAGAGTCAAATGAAATCGCACAACTTACTTCCACCGAAAATACCGAAGAAATTGAAGCCTTCACTATCAGCAGATTTCTGTTTTGCTTCTTCATCGCGTAAGTACTCCTCATCAATGGGCACTTCAAAACCCTTACGTTCTGCATAATCCAAAAATCTCGGTAACAACTCGCAGAATGGGAAATGATTCGGCGCATCACTTGGGCATTGCGCGTCTAGTGGATCGATGCACCAACGATCCAAGTAACCTTTCCCGATATCCGCCTTAAAATGCAATACCACATCACAATGCAAGACTGGCATCTGATGATGCATTTCAGCAATAATCAAAAATAACAGAATCTAGTTGACAATTGCATTCACTTACTCGATGGAAGAAACTTCTCGTATTACCCATTGAAAACACCTCATCTAGTTCATCAACTATCGCTTGTGGATTCAAATCGGACCATGAAAAACGCTCTTTGGATGGCAAAGATGTAAGAAATTCTTTTGCAATACCCAATGAACTGAAAGGAATGCGATTAGATGAAATGTATTAAATAAACAATAACAAGCATTAAACAAACAAATGAATCGCACCTCGCTTCAATCTTCGGATGTGGACCGACCGCTTTCGAACCCTCCCAGAAACAATCGATAGGCGTAATCCATATGCATGGTATAATCCGATCAATCACTGGGATATAGGTGGCCGCCATTGATGAACTGTTGAGTTCTGGCGACGGCGGTTTGAAGCAAATATCCGCAAGAGTCCAATTCCTTTCAAAGTTGATCATCATCACTATTATTTTGACTATTGATGAAACACACATACATACTCATTTTGCAATACTTATTGCACAGTAGTGGCATACATTAATTAAGACAGCGCCAACACAAACCTATGGCGATGAATATGGAACCAGCTATTCCAAAAGTGAGAAGATAATTTTATAAAAATAGCAACAAATAATCAACCACAATAATAAATACGACTCACTCGCCAACCACTTCAATTTTATATTCAGCAATTTGTTGCATTATATCGACATGCTCGAGGAGACCTTGTTTCGTTAAAATGTTATCGCCGTCACGAGTTGGTGTATGGATTACAACCTCAAAATGAATATCGCTACATGATAAAATAAACAAATAAAACAATCAACAACTCACAAACACTATCACCAATAATTTCATTAATCATTTTCTTGGAATAAAATTGAAGTCAATTCACTGATAATAATAACGTGACCTACTCATTCATCAATTCAATTTAACAACAACAAAAAATCGATGAATTAACCAAACAAGCACAACACAACGTAATCCAATTAACCTGATAACCGCCTCCTAAACCATTCTCACGTTTCGCTTGCGTGGTCGCTGACGTACTTGACTGTTGCTGAACCCGAGTGAGAAAATTGAGTTCTTCGTCTAAACGACCACCTCCTTAAGAAAAACTCATTATTAAAACAACAACGTGTGAACCTATTAATTGTCAATTTTTGTGGAGCAAACAAAGCGAGATCGACAAGAAACCAACAACAACAAAAATGAGTGAACAAAGAACAAACAAACGAATGAATTAATAAATAATTCAATTTAAAAAAATAAGCAAAGAGATGTATCAATACAACTAACTAACTTGCAACCCACAATTTAACAATATCCGTCTCAATACGAACATATTGAAGCCCGGTACAGCAGAATGAGAAGAACGTCAACATGGCCATTATCACCAACAATGAATGACGTTCAACAAAACTGCCTAATGAGAAGAGTGCTTTCTGAATTAAACTACGCGAATACAACGCTAAACAATTGCCTCTTGCTTTACCCTGCAATTAATTCATTTTGTAAAGAGGACGCAATCAAATTTCCAATCATGACACAAAATAAAACAAAGACGATAAGTGGTAGCAGAAGAGAATAATTCCAAAAATTTCAGAACGAACTGCTGCTCACCCGCTTTATTTGCTGTAGTGTCATATCGGCATCACACCACGACGGCCGCTCACTGAATTCGCGTTTCCATCGTTCCGAAAAATCATATGAATTTGACTTGCCCACTAAAAATTTGTCGATTCTCTGAAATCAGTAACTAATTGCAGTAAACATCAATGAAATGTGTTTTCATCTCCAAACGCATTCATTATACACAATCGATCCTTTCCACATAGTCCAACCATTCAACTCAATCATTTCCAAGCAAGTTTCGCATCTGCTAACAAATCACGTTTCGCATCTACTCATTTTACATGAAAACACTAGCTTTAGTAAGTTATAACAAACTAACTAAACGAATGAAAATGCATGATTCGATTCCAAAATCAATATAGGCAGCTAGTGGCCGTAGGACTGACCTGTGCTAGAGTTCGTTTACCGTTTGATGTGTTGCAATTATTATTGATGGTGTCAATATTATTCGCTTCATCTATATCCAAATCATCATCCTCATCAGTCGCAGTTGCGAATGTGAGCAAATGTTGTGCTGAACGATTATTAGACGCTACACCACGTTTGGCACCCGGTGGTTCGATTAATGTTAACATACTGAAATTATCGTCTTTCAAAGAATACCTTGAAATTTGACAAATCATTTCAAATAACGGTTGTTAACTTACAAGTAAAAATAATCGCATCGCGCAACAAACAAATCCCATCCAATCATTCGTTGAAGTGAAAAAAAAACAAAAAAAAACAACACATAAAACATCCCCTATCGCCTCCTCTTCTATCACTTCGGTACAGTCCAAAAATCTGCCGTCAATTCTGAACGGCTCATGATTTAGCAAGTCTTATACTTACATATA